TTAAAAAATATGTTTCATAACTTCTTTAAAAACTGAAATAGACAAACATGGACATACGGGATAATTCAAACTTATTTATTTTTGCCTAAGTTTTTGTCTATGTTTATGTGTTTGTTTATGTTTACGTCTATGTTTATGTCTGTTTTTATGTCTATGTTTACGTATTGGTTTATGTGTTTACGTATTGGTTTATGTATTTACGAAGGATTGATGAAATTATAAATCGCGAGAGCATGTTCTGGCATAGATAAATTGTTTTTATGTCTTTGGAAGAGTTGAGGTACATATATCATGTTGCGGTGAGTAACTTAATTTTCTGGTCATCAACCTACCTTCTCTACATCTTTTTTTCTCTCTGTGTTTCTCTCTCTTTCTCTCTCTCTCTCTCTCCCTCTCTCTCTCTTTCTGCTCCATTTTTCCAGATTTTCGACATTCAAGGCTTCCCGTTAAAAATAATTTTTCACTATTATCCCAAAACAATCATCTTCTTCTCCTTCATCATCATCATCATCAGTCTTATTGTTATCATAATTATCGTTTTCATCTCTATCACGTTAACGTCATCGTCATCGTCGTCGTCATCATTTTACAGAGCATTGCATGACAAACATTAACAGCGTTATTTCATCAAGTAACCTTCGCTTACATCAAAATCATCTCTCTCTCTCTCTCTCTCCTCTCATTTACCTTTTTACTTTCTGTTTATTTTGCACTCCCTCCCTTTTTATTTAGTTCTTATCATTCAGCCTTTTCTATATTTTTCTAAAAATTTACATTATTTAATTAAAATTTGATTCCTTAAAAGGAAGACACTTTAATTAACGGAACAGTAAAATTTTTGAAATATCGAGAAAAAATAATTTTTTAAATTTAAAAAACTTTGGCTACTACTACTACTAAGATAATTTGGTTACAACTATCTTTTTTCATTTTAACTCTTTTTTTTAACTTGTTTTTTCTCTCTTTCTCTCTCTCTCTCTATCTCTCTCTCTCTCTCTCTCTCTCTCTCTCTCTCTCTCTCTCTCTCTCTCTGTGTAGTAGACGTACGTGCTTCTAAAAAACTTTCAATACAAAATATATTGAAAAATTATTAGTTTTCTATTAATAAAAAACATCAGGCTAATTTCCTTTACTGCGAATGCATTTTTAACGCAATAACATCATCACGGACGGCTGCATAAGAAATAGACTGGCTCTTTGTATGGATCGAAACTTTATTGAAAAATGTACGAAATACTGGTTCTATTATATTCTACTCTCTATGAATAAAGTAATATTAAATCTACTAATATTGTATGGCTTAATTTTGCCACATTTTATGTTTCATCTTACTACCATTTGGCAATACAGCTGCCACTACTACTACTACTACTACTGCAACTACTACTGCTGCTTCTATTACTACTACTGCTGCTACTAATACTACTACTATTACTACTGCTACTACTACTACTACTACTACTACTACTACTACTACGAAACTAGCTTCATTACGATACTCAAAGTAATTAAATTTGCTCCTACCTTTATTACTTGCTGACAAGTTAGCTCAGTCGGTAAGAGTGTTGTCCTATTTTACGTTGACGTTGTCATGCGTTGATCTGGTTCAAATACAGTCTGGTCAGAAGATTGTATGCATAGTAAATAATTTTTATACTTTTAAATTGATATATTTTGAAAGACTCTATATTATAACTTAGCATCATCATTGTCAATGCGATAATTGCTGTCATATTTGCCTATACGTTAATATAGTTGTTGTTGTTATTGCTGTTTTTCAAAGTTATTGTTGTTATAAGTGTTATTTCTCAATTCCAAATTGATGTCAAAAAAAATTTTTCCTTTGAAAAATTAATTAGGAAGTTGCTTTTATTTCTTAAACGCCATGTTGGTTGAACTTTCTGATGAATTAAAAAATGTTTTTTTTTGTCCTTGGTTTTATTTTTTGTGACCCACAAACATGATGACGAAGCTGATGACGACAATCTTGCAATTAAAATTTATTTTCTTTTGAAAATTGGTTTTGTTTTGTTTGTTAACGTGTGTGTGGTTCTCTGTTCTATGTTTTCATTTTTTAAAAAGTTTTCCGCAAAATTTTCAAAAAGTTTATTTTACATTTTTCTACGAGAGCCCGTTTATTCTCGTCCATAATAATTTGTCCAATTAATTTTTAATTCAATGTTTGTAATATGGCTGCAGCTGTTGTTGATACTGCTGTTGCTACTACTGCTGCTTTTACTACTACTGCTACTACTTTTACTACTATAACTGCTACAACTTTTACTACTACAACTACAGTTAATTAGATGGATTAGATAAAGATAAATTGAAAAACAGATAAATTGAAATTTTTGAGGTAGTCTGGAGTTTTATTGAAATTTTTTTGAATCTATAAGAATTTTTAGAGATTTTTAAAAAATATTTATCGGATATTTTGAAATTTTTGGAAATATTTTTGAAATTATCACTTCATTTTTTAGTGTTGTTGGCGGAGATGTTTCAAGGATGGCATGTCCGTGTCAAATTTAGATCATAAACAAGAGCCGAGGTATTACCTCAGTAAATTGAATGGTAATGAAATTGAATTTTTTTTTTGGCTGTTGAATGTGTTTTTATTTCTTTGTTGTTGTTGTTGTTGTTGTTGTTTCCATTGCACAATTTTGTTGTCATGTAATCATTATTAAGTCGTAATTGTATTATCCCTGACATCTTCATCACAAAGTTAACAATCTAGTCATTCAACTTCATATCAATATAATATAATCATCATCGTTGTCTTTACCATCATAGTCGTCGTCGTCATCATTTTCTTTCATCTCTTTCTGGTTATCATCATCATTATCTACATCATTATCTTCATCATCATCGTCATCTTTTTTGAAATCGCCCTACTGTATTTTTTAAAACAATTCTTAGAAACTCAGAAACTTTTAAATAGAATAATATGCATATAAAATGCAGACGTATGTAAGTTGGGTGCTACAGAGAACAACTCGAAAAAGGCGGGAACCCTAACTAGCTTTTTATGTCATGTTTTATAAAAATATTCAAATTTTACGTTTATCTATAGATACTTATTTATCTATCTATTCATTTTTTTAACATTCTCAATTCATTTCTTTGTCCGATCTGTCACCTTTCAAACACGACAACAACACCAACATAAATGTTGAAGATGACAGGGCTTTTGAAAAACTCATTTGAATGAAAAGCACTATTTAAATGTTTTAATAATAACAAATAATAACAATTAATAACAATACGAATAAGAATAAATTAATAAAAGTAAGAAGAGGAGTGATGGGGTTATACAAAGACGTTTTAAAAATTTTATAGCCTGATGGCTGGGAAACTCGCCAAAAATTATTTTTTTTTTTGTTAAGTAAACATTTTTAGATTTAATACTCAACCGTTTTATGGATTTCATTTTTTATTTTACGAAAATTTAAAAAAATCATACAAAAATTAATCGGTGAAGCTGAACAAACATTTAAAATTCATGAAATAAGTAAGACATGTATGCAGATATACGTAACCATACATATACACCCACACACACACGCATGTCCACACACACACACGTACGCACATACTTATATACACACATTTCTTAAGAATTTATTCCAATTCAAGGTTTTTCATTTCCTTGAATTTGATATTTTGAGGCATACACCTTGTTAGAATGTTTGTTTAATTTTGTGTGTGTGTGTGTTAATGCTTGTTTGGTGTTTGCGCCTATGTATTATGTATATTTATCAATATTTGCTAGAGGAAAATACATATACATAAGTTTAAAATGTATCCATTTGTATGTGTGCGTGTATGTGTATGTGCGTGTGTATGACTATGATGATTTGTCGTTGTATTTGGTCATTCCATTATGTTTTCAATAATCTTTTTAAATATTAATTTTTTGTTTATTTTAAAGCCTATAAAATATTAATGAAAAATTTTTAAAATATAATTTTTATTTAACAAAAAAATATTTTATTATGACCAATTTGTTTATTAGGGCAAAAAATGTTATTTCTAAGTATTCAACGAATATGAAATGAAGATGATGACAACAGAGATGATGATAATGAGAATGAAGATGGCGTTATTGAAAAAATATTTGGCTTGAGTACCTCAAAAGCAAGTTGGTAAATAGGTAGGTAGATCAATATATCATATTGATCTGTACCTTTAAAATCGCATGGCTGCTTGGAGATAAAATCAGTGAGATGACAGAATCATTAACAAACAATTACACACCTGCTTACACACACATAAAAACATACATACACGTACACACAGATATACACATATGCACACACACATACAAATGGGTACATTTTATACCTATGTATATGTACCTTTCTCTACCAAATATTGAAACATTTCACAAATATGTTTCGAAACCTGCTTGAAAAATGTTCAAGTTTTTTTGTTTTATGTCGTGCTGTATGAAAATGTGAAAATTAATTTTAAGATCTGTATGTATGACTTTTAATTGTTTTAATATGTTTAATTTTGTTAAACAAAGCAAAACACCACAAACACTAATACAACAGAACACAACGCACACAAAAAATGACAACACTCATTCAAATGAATCATTACGATATAATTTCATTTTTTTTTGTAATTTTTTTATTTGCAGGCAGTCTGATCACACCAATAGCAGATAGACACCAACAACATCAAAGCTTACAACATCAACACAATCATCCACTCAGAACAAATAAATAATGATGGTTGACCCGATGTTTCAACGAGCAGAACAACTGGAGGATGGAGATGAGCACCCCGAATCTCACACCAACAACCTGGCATACTTCTATCCCAGCACTGACAACAATGAAACTTTCTACAACAACGACGACGACATTGATGAGGATGATTTGCATGACTACCAACATGCAGTATACAGTAGCCACAATAGCCAAAACATCACCGGCAGCAGCAACACCAGCGACAACTTTCATGATTTAGACGACATACCGTATTATTTCGAAATAATTAATAAACTCATTCCAGTGGTGTTTGGGATCATAACAGCGGTCGGCACGATAGGCAACTTAATTGTCATCGCGACAATAATCTACAACAGACACCGTCGCAATCGACCGGCGTCAAACAAATCGAGAGTGACGTCATCGGCGACGACATCAGTGGCGACAACCACCACAGACGTTTTGATCGCCAGCTTAGCAGTTGCCGATCTGATGTTTGTCATTATCTGCGTGCCATTCACGGCCGTTCGATTCGTCACCGGGTGGCCTTTGGGTAGATTTTTATGCATCGGACACGTGTACGGAGTGTATCTGAACGCCTACGCAAGCGTGTACACCATGGTCCTCATGGCCGTCGATCGGTACTTGGCCATCGTGCACCCCTTCGACTCCATAAAATGGCGCACCCCTACAAATGCTCTGATCGCCACACTGCTCGTTTGGCTCGTTCTCATCGTCTGCAACTCACCTCTACTCTGGGAAATTGATACTTTCTACCAAGAGGGGTTGTACTTGTGCGACTTTGTCAACTACAATAACATGGTTGGTTGGTTTTTTGATTAGTTGGCTGTCTGGTTGGTTGGTTGATTTTGTTTCTTGATTGTTGGATGGGTTGAATATATCAATGTTTCACTGTTGGATGAATTAAATAAAAAAAAAAATTAGTTTAGAAAAATGATAAAATATTCAAGTTTTTCTTGTTCACAACAAAAATTCAAGAAAATTTACATTTGAAAAAACTGCTTTCAATTACTTCACTGCAGATTAATTCACATTTTGCTAAAAAAATTAAAAATCTCAAAATAATTCTTCACAAACCAGGAGGACCGGACGTTCGTGCAGACCTTCCACTCGACCTTCTTCCTCTTCTGCTTCTTCATCCCACTGACCGCCATCACGATCCTCTACGGCCTGCTGCACAGAAACCTCAAAAGAGGAATGCACAGACATCCAAGGAACCTACCTCAAAACAGTCAGCAACTCAACAAAAACTCTGAAATCTCTGAGAACCAGCGTGAACGGAGAGCTAGAAGATTGGTTACGAGACTCCTATCCATTCAGGGTGCTGAAAATTTTAATTTTCATCAAAATGAATAAAAATTGAGTGTGAAATAATTAATTTTAGATGTAAATAATTTACAAACTTATTTCTAAAAATGCTTTATCGAATTTTAAAATCATTTCTACGCTTATTATAAACAGACAACAACTTCCCCAACGCATCTCCCTATCAATCTCCCCCAACGAGGCCACCGGTAGTAGCCACATCAGCGTCATCATCCACGCCCATCAATCAGCAACACAAACGTCGTCGTCAGTCGTTGAAGAACGTCTCTTCGTTGCCGTTGTCATCCTCGTCATTAACCGCAACAACATTGACCCCAACGACAACGTTGTTATCAGCTTTGACGACGCCAGCAACTAAGACAGCGACGCCACAAACAGTACCAACGACGACGCCAGCAGCCAAAATAGCTACTACAACGTCGGCACCGATGATGCTACACACTCAAAACAGGACATCAGTAGAAATAACCCTAACAAAAACAGCATTCGTAGCTTCGCAGAAACCTACGTGCAAACTTGCCTCACCACCTCAGCTTCACCAGCTTGCTACATCCCCAGCTGCAGCTGCAGCAAGAAAAACAGAACTCTTGCAAAAGAGGCGCAACAAACATAAAAGAGTTACCGGGATGTTGATCGCTGTGGTCGTCACGTTCGCCGCATGCTGGCTGCCCATTCAAATCTGCTTCCTCATCGTCGCTTTCACAAATTATAATGACAACAATGCTGGTTAGCTTTGGTTCCTTCATGAAAACGACCTTTTTTGAGCGGTTTCGCGTTAATTGTTGTTTCCTCAATTTTTTTCATCCTATCGATCACTTTTTTCTCAATGACAAAAATAATTTTATTCCTAGTTTGTGATTTTTTAGTTCATTTTTTTTATACAAATCCTATCCTTTAACTCCTATTTGATTATTCACGAATTTATTTCAAGGTTTTTTTTTATCTATCACAGACCAAACGACATACAAATCAATCAATCAATCAATAAATCAATCAATCAATCAATTAATCATTTAATCATTTAATCAATTAATCATTTAATCAATTAATCGTTTAATCAATTAATCAATAAATCATTCAATCAATCAATCAATCGATCGATCAATCAATCAATCAACCAATCAACCAATCAATCTATCTATCAACCAATCAATCAACCAATCAATCAATCAACCAACCAACGAACCAATCAACCAACTGACCAACCAACCAACTAACCCTCACATCAGTGATCATCATAAAGCTGCTGAGCAACTGCGTGGCTTACATGAACAGCTGTCTCAACCCATTCCTCTACGCCTTCTTCTCGCAGGACTTCAGGGACTCCTCCCTCAACCTCCTCCACGCCCTCAAATATTTCTGCTTCCCCAAATGTTTAGCCAATCGAAAGACGACACAGAATAATAATAATAATAATAATAATAATAATAATAGTAATATTGATAATAATGTTAATAATGATAACAACAAAGTTAACGCTGACAACAAAAATAAAAGTAACAATGATAATCATGTTGATGATGACAATTTAATCACTGACGATAACGAAAACAACGCCAGGAAGCAGAGTAGTGGAGGCGCTGCTAGAAACAACAAAACTCTTAAATTCGAGGATTTAATTTCTATTACTGATGGCACAGGCAAGATTGATAATGACGTCATGAATGATTGCATAAGCAAAATGACGATGATGAAGACGAAGAAGTGTGATGAGATGATGAATACTGGAAAAGTCTGTGAGTTAGCGACCGTTGGGGAAAGGGATGTGGCGAATGTTGTTGGTGACGCCGTTGATGTTGTTGTTGTTGATGCTGCTGATGTTGTTGTTGACGATGTGGTCGTGGGTGACGAAGCAGTTGCCAAATCTGTTTCCGGTGTTGTCGTTGGGGTAGAGAGTGATGTAGTTAGTAGAGTTGTTGCTGGTGTTAAGGTTGATTTTGCTATTGATGTTAACAATGATGTTGATGTTATAAACAATATCTCCGTTTGTAATGCTGCTGCTGCTGCTAAAGTTAAGGATTCTACTCAAGAATATATGTCTACTAAATTTAAATACAACAACATCAGTACCAGCAGCAACAACATCAGCCACAACAACAACAACAGCAGTAGCAACAGTAAAAATTTCAAAACTAAACTGAACAAAATCTTCTTCAACAAATTACACACAAAAGACTGCCAAAACCGTCGATTCGTTTAAAGTATTACCCTCAACAACGACTTCAGAAACAACAACAACAACAAAATCGTTCACCACATTAACAACAATAACAACACCAACAAAAACGTCATTCACTTAAAGACAGTATATGGGTTTAACGACATCAACAACAACATAAACAACAACAATAGCAGCATCAACAACAACAACAACAGTAACAACAACATCAACAATACCATCGGTCGAAATAATTCATCAACTATAATTAATACTAATGACTAAAACACAAAAACCATGCTCTAATAATAAACTTAAAATACAAGCAAAGCTATTAATTACAAAATTTTGAATTAAAAGTTTTGTGCTAAACAACAACAAACAAACATTTATTCAAATTAACACAAATTTGCTCGTTCTACAAGGATCTAAGTTAAAATTATTAGCGATGATTAAGTGTGGTTTTTCAGCAAATGCACTTTTAAATTATTTTTGGAAAGAAGCTAAATTAATAATTACACACACACGCACGCACACACACACGCACGCACACACGCACGCACACACAAACAAACACGTGTATGTATATAGTAACGTGTAAAAGTATGTGTCTTTGTACATGTGCATATTGTTTGTATAGTACATGTTTTGTTTATTGCATATAGTGCATGTATAAAATTTGATCATCTACTTGAATTTTATTCAATAATATATCTTAATTTGTATTAACAGAAAAACTCCGGTGAAAACCGGTTAAACGGATCGTATAGGGGAGTGGTCAAATTAACCGAGTTTGCTGTATATTTGTATGATATTGTAATTATCATATTAGACTAATTAACTTTGAAACTTTTGAAATTTAACATCGAGTCAAAAATATATATATATATATATATATATATATATATATATATATTTATTTATTTATTTATTGCTATTTATATTATTTTTGAAATATATAAATTTATTTTAAATGTTATAATTGAATTAAATTCTGTTAAATATTGTTGTAAATTGAATTGGAGATTAAACTGAAATGAAATCATTTTTCATCTTCGTATTTTATTTTGAGTAACATTTTGCCTATAAAAATCATTTTGTGTTAATATTTTGATTTATTATGAAATACCGTGAAATGAATAAAATTGTTCGTTCGATTAAATCGTCCATCCATTGATTTATTCATTAATTGATTGATTAATTGATTAAGTTATTCATTAATTCGATCGTTCGTTCAATCTATCATTCATCCTTTCATTTATTTTTTGGACCGCCAGTGATCGTACATATACATATATATCCATACAGTACCTTTTTTTTTTATAAATTTTCCATTTTTAAATTTTTCAATCATTTCGTACACACACACATCACACACACAAACACACACACACACAAACACACATACACACACAAAATCTCTCTCTCTCTCTCTCTCTCACACACACACACAAACGTATATAAACACAAATACACAAACATAGACACAAGCAACCATAAATATATATATATATATATATATATATATATATACATATATATATATATATATATTTGTACATATAATTTTTTATTAATATATAACTTGTAAAATTATTATAACTCTGATATTCATCTTGGACAATTTCAAAGGAAGACTTTTTTATAACCACTGTCATAACTGTCATCATCATTATCAGATTCGTTATCGTCATCGTCATCATCGAAGTCATCATTATCATAACTTTTTTTGATTATTATTCCAGAGATTGATATTGTGATGTATACGCTTGTGGTACTTTCAAACTAATTATCGTCAACTTTCATTTTATAATTTATGAATGAATGAATGAATGAATGAATGAATGAATGAACGAATGAATTAATGATTGGATGGGTGAAGGGATAGATGAATGGATGGATGAATGAATGGATGGATGAATGAATGGATGAATGAATGAATGCCATGTAAACATTATCAAATGATGTATCGTTGTCCTTGCTTTTCATAAACTTCCAATAAACAATTTTTGACATTTTATTTATTCATTTATTTTTTGTTGTTGTTGTTGGTTAAAACAATCGTGATAAATGTTGAATTTATTGAAATTCAGAAATATTGATTCCGAAAAAAATATCCACATCCACTTTCTTCTCGTGAAAAATGATGGAAAAATTGTTAACAACAGCAACAAAGCAACATTATATCAACAAAAATTTAATTAAACGAGAAGAATCTCAACAGCAGCAAACGCAGCTACAGTAACATTAACATCAATAACAAACAAACATCATGAATAAAAATAACAGCAACATCAATAACAACAGATGACATTAATTAAAATCAAAACAACACCTCAAATCGAACTACAGCAGCCAGCTCGTAAACATGTCCTCTGCTATTATACATCATCCTTATCTTAAAACCTCAAACGTTAATCACAATCATCGTCAGCATCGTCTTCATCGCTATCACCACTATAGCCATTATCATCGTCATCATCCTCCTCATTAAAAAGTGGTGGAGGTTATGTTTTAACGCGATAATTTCAGTCCAAACCAATATCACTAGCAGCGTTTTATTGGACAATTAATTGAGAGAACGAGTGAGTATGTGCGGCGTGTGTATGTTTGGGTGTGAATATATGAGGAGCATGTATGTCAGCTGATGCGTGTCTGTCTTTAGACTTATAGGATGGAATGACGTGTTGGTTATGTGATATTGTAAGTGCGTGCGTGCATGCTTTTAGTGTACAGGCAACTACCGTCGTTGGTTCAGAAAGTGATGTAGTTAGTAGACTTTATTGTCGTTGATGATATTATAAGTGTTGTTGTTATTATTGTTGTTGTGTTTTGTGGCCATTACTCATGTTTATAGTGTTGCGACTGAGGTTGTTGACGTTGTAAATAAAGAAATGAACTAAAATTAAATTGTTATTTTATACAAAATTCGTAACAATGAAAACCTCGCAAACGAAAATATTTTTAAAATGTTTTCCCCAATTACTTTTTAGTATTCTTGAAATCGTCGGCTATGTCGTTAACATCGATTTAGTATCTATTTTGATAATAAAGACGTTTGTGGTGAATATTATAGATTTTTCGTTTTTAATTAAAAACTATAAACTAAAACTTTGAAACGGTTTATATTGACAAATTGATGACATTATTTTGATTCAAAGTTGTTGTAGTTGTATTTTCGGAATCGTCGGCAATGTTGTTAACAACGCACACACACACATACAAACTACATACCACACACACACACACACACACACACACACACACACACACACACACACACACACACAAACACACAATCAGTACATACAAAGTTAATAATTATTCGCATTCGCAGTCTTCAGTACCGGTACTTGTCAGAATTTTAAAAATTATCATATACCAATTATGAACGCAAATTTTTGTTTAACTAGAGAACAAATGAAAAAATAAACTAAAATTGAAATCTATTTATTTCACAAAATTCGTAATATCTTACAAACGATAATTTTTAAAAAAAATTTTCTCTTAAATTTTTAGTATCTTTTAAATTGTCAGCACTATCGTTAAAAACGATTTAGTGTCTATTTTGATAACGAATTCGTTTGTGGTGAATATTGTACAATTTTTGTGTTTAATTATATACCACACATTAAAAAATTGTTAAAACTTTATATAGACAAAATGATGACACTATTTTGAATTATGGTCTTTTTAAACAGAGTATCTGTGTTGAAATTTATTTCTCAAAGATTTTGATATTTGGTAATTAACGTTCGCTGTTGTTATTGTTTCTAATGTTATGTTTCTGATTGTATGGTTGTTGTTGTTGAAGCTGATGAAGTCATTATAGTTGTTGCAATTAGTGTTAAAGTTTATTTTCATATTTTCAATGTTTTAACATACCATAATCATTCAACCTTTTTAAAATTTTACTCTTTTACATAAAAACTAACATAGATGTACATAAAACACACGCTCACCATGCACAGACACACACGCATACAACCCACAAGACAAACACACTTATGCATACAAATTTAAACCGTTTTTTATTGTATTTGTCCTTCCCATCATCAGATTTCTATAAAGATTCATTTCCCTTTTGTTTGTTTTCTTTCGGTGTTATGGCCTATCTTAATATCAGAACAATTGTCAGTGACGTTTCTATCATCTTTGCTGTCTTCCTC